CTTGAGTTCTATACAAAGAACATCTAAGTTAACTATTGGAGTTAAATTGTGCCGATAGTTCTATACGCTCTCCCAAAACAATAGTAACAATATACTTTAGTGTACATTTTAATAAAATCGTCGTAAAAGTTATATGTAGCTTTATTAAAATGCATTTGAAAATTCGTACGTATTTCGTACTGTAGCCTCCAAAAGTTTAACACGGTTACACAAAAACAATAAAAAAAAACCAACACAAATTGACCAAATAAACGATAATAAAATTGTGTAAATTAATACGTACGTATAATATTAATACAGTACATGAAGATTGATACAACTACGTATGCTGTCTTTAAAGTTTCGTAAGTTTTGGAGACGGTCTTCGTTGCAGAACATTGACTTTTAATATTTTCTACATTTTCTCAATGGAATTTTTTATAGTTTTTTGCGTAACCGGGGTAAACTTTTGGTGGCTACTGTACATCAATTGTCAAATTTGTTACGTAATTCACGACCTAATGTAAATCTATAACCTTTTGTTTCTCAGTATGTACGTACGTACAGTACTTATGTATATAATTTACGGAATTTATAAAATCTTTTTTTTTTTTTTTAATAAAAAAAAAGGAATGAGGATATTAATAAGTATAGAATTTCTAAATACAAATTTCCGTATTATTAAATAAACAAAAAAAAGGAAATATATAAAGTAACAGATTTTTTTTTTCTTTTCTGGCTTCACTTTGATTTTGTAACTTGAGGCTTATAAAAAACAATATACAATAATAATAATCACAACGATAATATATAATATTTACATTTATATACTTACCCATTTTCGAGCTGCCGTTGCCGCTTCTTTCTCATCTTTTTTGAAAAAAAAAAAACTCTTTGATTCCTAGTTAATGATTTACAATCCAAAAAAACAAAAAAAACCAATCTTCGTCACTAGTGAAAATGGACAGAAGATACTATAAATTTTTATGCGACCGGGAATTTTAGCTTTCTCCTATATCTTCTACACACACACACATGTGTGTGTGTTGCTAAGGAACATGTGACTTCGGGCTTTTAAGTTTATTATTTAAATTATTATTTGCATTTCATATATTTGTATATATATTAATAGATAGCACATAAATACTTACTCATGTGTCAGCTGAATTCATTTAAAAAATTTGCTTGAAAATATACGACGTCAGAATTATTTTCTAACGGTATAAACTGCTGACAGTCTTCATAACTTAACTCTATTACAATATTGTAAGTATTATTAATATGAAGATGCCAACAAATAAATAGGGTGCCGGTCAAATCCCGACAAGCATATCCCGACAGGTCATAATCAAAAAAAATCCCGACAGTCAAAATCCTGACAATTAAAAAATCACAACAGTCAGAATTTTCAAGTAGAAAATCCAAAATATGGGGTATGTTTAAAGCGAAGTAGACTCTTATAATTTATTGTCGCGGATCATAATTTAAAATGAAATCTACATTTTCTACTCAACCTGTTAACCTTCTAATACTTGTTTATTATAACTTTACTTTAAAACTAACCCCTAACCCTAACCCCTATCCCTAAAAAATGCACCCCAAAAAAATTATTTTTCGAGATTTTATATTATAATTTCATTTTGATCTGAATTTCATTTTATGATCCGCCACATTTATTAACTTTAGGGTTAGGTCACTTTAGATAAGGGTTAGGCTAGGATTAACGGTATTTTTTATCAGAATTTTAATTGTCGGGATTTTTAACTGTCGGATTTTTGCCTGTCGGGATTTTTTTGTCGGGATGTCGCTTGTCGGGATTTTGATCCAAACAAATAAATATATATGTGAGAATAAACAATCTATAACCAAATAAATAAATAATGAATACCAGAATACACGCAAGGAGGAGCAAAGCTGGTGCTTTGTGCTAAATCTAGATGCAGGTACGCACGTATATACGTGTCATGAATATAATTATAAGTATAATTCAAATTCAAATAAAGAAAAAAAAAACAGAAATCTCTACATATTGTACATACATAGACTTTGTGGCAGTAGCAACTCCAAATAATTATTTTGAAATGGAACAAATTCGTTGCTATAATATATTTCGGAATTTGAGTCTGCGGTTTCAAATTCTTGAGAATCTTCTGCAAATGGTGATTTTGTTTTTTTTGTGTTCGCCAAAAAATTAGACGAGGTAGTTGCCTTTGTATTCAAGGGTTGAGAGGATGAATCTTCTTGTTTAAGATTAGAGCTTGTTTCACTTCGATGTTTTCTCTTAACCCTTGATGTTTTTTTATTCAATATTTTTCCATTAGCTTTAAACCTATGCTGGTGTGCTTCTATTTTCATTTTAAGTTTAAGCCTTCGCGAATCCCGAGATTTTGATCCAGGTATATTATCAAATGTGTTGTATTGCCCTTTAGTGGGATATTGAAGAATTATTTTATTTTTATTAGACATTTTGCGTAGATATTTACTAACTCTTGCTTCTCTCTCCATAATTAAATAGATGATTGAAATTTTATGTATGATATGAAGAACTTATTAAGTGCTTGATTCATATTTGGGTCTACTTTAAGTCAAAAATGGTAATTTTGGTAATTACTTTTTTAAGAAATAGATATTTGTTATTCTTTAAAGACGTTTTACGTAACCGCCCCGATCCATAATTTGACATCACATGTTATATATAATAGATTGGGCGCCAACAATCAAAACGATACATAGTGAGATCCGACAAATTTTTACACAAAATATAATTGTAACATGGGGTATCATTAATCAAACGCATATTCAACGTGCGTTTGATTAACAACACCCCACGTTACAATTAGATTGTGTGTAACAATTTGTCGGATCTCGTTATGCATCATCTTGATTGACGATACCCTATATAAATCACATGTTACACATTTGAGCTCTACCAAGCATTAACGTTAATTTATTCGTCACGGATTATTAATAATAAACAATTTCTAGTTTTGACAATGATAAGTCGTGTGATTAAACTACCAACCTCGGTCAAAGATGATAATCTTTTCCTATCACTATGTATGAATTACCAAAATCGGCTACAAGTACGTGGGAATGTACATACGTCACTTGTTATCTAGAATTTAAACCGGATATATTTATATACCATAAAAGGTCATATATAAGATCCTTTTATAGTAGAACCACCATGAATGACCTGTGTATGAACCACAAGATTTTTATTAAATAAATGCAGATGCTTCAAAATCTAGTATACTTATTATAAATGCAAGGTGTGTATGTACTTAGAATTTACCTTGCTACAATATAAACGCTCCGCTGTGTACTATACCCGGTCTATTATACTGTAGATTTTAAGATCGGTGCTAACTGTTAAGATATTTTTGTGTAATAAGTTTTGAAAAAATTCAAAGGGAATTTACAGATTTACCGGTAGATAAAGTGAATGCACGTTTATGCAATGTTAACCAAATAGTAGCTCACATGACACTGCAGGTGGTATATAATCAGATATTCAGATATATAAAACTTATATAAAAGTTAAAAATATATTTTATAACACCCATGTTATATATATAACACCATATTATATGTTAATTATATAAACTGGGTTAGGATAAGTGTATAGTTTATAGTATAATATCTATTTAATAGTATTATATAATAGGTATTATATAACATGGCGTTATGAATATAACTTTTCAAGTTAATAACTTATACAAATTATTATAAAACGATTAAACTAAAAACTACATATACATAACCTTTAAAAAAGCTTGTTTGCTTCGGACCTTTATCAGATTCTGATTTTCTTGCTTAGTTTTACAGATACATATAATCAAAATAAAAAAGATCATTAAATTTGGTTAAATAATTGTCGAGATAACGACTGCGTCAAAATTTTTTAAAATTTGAACAAAAATATTTCGATAACTAGCTAACCAAATTTGATGATTTTTTTTATTTTAATTCTACCGATTATATAATAAAATAAAAAAAACTCATTAAATTTAATTAGGTAGTTTTCAAGATACAAGTTATAAAAAATTTTACAAAATGACAACCAATCACGAAAATTATTAGGTCTTTATCACGTGATTGACGTCCTTAATTCGCAACCACCAATCTACTTGAAAGTAGTGCTTCAAAACTGATTAATTCGATAATTCGAATTAAATATCCTTATTCGCCAATTTTAGGCGGATAGATTTCGGATTAAGGATTAAGGATTATTCGAATCTTCTGAAAAGTATGCTGCGATCTAACGTCATGATTCTGATTGGCCAAATTGGGAATAAATTTAATGGATATACGGATCTTTTGTTAATTGGTATGTTATTAAGTTTGTGAACATTAACCATTATACTATGCTTTAATTTATTTATCTAGTTGTGAGTATTAAAGATCGTTTAACAACTAGGAAAACGGGATTTGTTGAGCTACCGTACGAAGCACTGTTCCACATTTGATTCTGATTGATTGAATAATAGTGGAAATTTAGAATTGCTTCTTATATTTATCTCATCCTACACTTCTTGAAACCCATTTGTAATTTTTGTCTGGACTTTCTCTGCTTTGCTCCGGATAAAAATTATTGGATTTAAATTGAGAGAACGGACTAGCATCCTATCTGTACCTTAAATCTTTTAAGTAGAACGGAACAGTGAGTCAAGATCAATTCAGATTTACTAATTTTAATTCGGATTTACTCGGATTCGAATTATCATCCGGATATGCTAAAGAAGATCTGAATTTAATCCGAATGGCCCCCTGAAACATAGGATTGAAGCTCTACTTGAAAGTGCATCTGAATTTTGTTACTAAAAAAGTATTCCTCTTGAATTCACCTTATAGTTTTAAATCCTATCAAGAAATACAACTTGCCATGAGAGAATTAACTTTAATTTTGGTACCAATTTATTGAAGAAATTATCTTTAGTTGACGAATCATCTTTTTATATCCATTCTTTGTTCGATGTCCCATCATAACGACCGTTCAAAGCGGATCATTCGTTGATATTATCCTTAAACTCCTGTTTCTTTTTTTGGTAAGCTTTTGTATTGATGCCATTGATTCATTAGGGGTATAACACATTAAAATTGTTTAAATTATGTTTACAAATTCTCAAATTTATTAAGTGCGTATTTTTGATAGTAGTGCGCATGTTATGGAATATGTGATTTACTATGTCTCATGATGTGATTTTTCAAGGCAAAGACACCCCTTCTAATATGTATTAACTTATCAATTTGTTATTTGTATTTATGTATTTACAATGCGGCACGTTTGAATATCACATATATGTAATGATAAATTTAAAATGCGTTATTTGAATTGTACAGAAATTTAAAATGGGTTGCACTAATGGAAAAAATGGGTTAGACGTATTGAAAAATGGGTTAGACGCATTGTTAAAACTTAAATTTGGGGACCAAAAATTAGTTAAATTTGATAAATGCGTCGTAATGATTATAATAATAGAATAAGATAGAAAACTATTTTTATATCGATCGATATGGTAAAAATACAAAATTGATTTACATTTGCAAAAATTTATCATTATACTGTAGATTTAGCGATCGAACCTCTAACATGCGGGCGCATCTTTTCGATTTGGCGATTACAGTATTAAAAATTAATGATAACATTTCATAAAATTTAAACCCATCATTTATGTGATCTCCGGTAAAATATAATTGATATTACTTGACCTCCAGTAAAATTAAATTGTAACATTGTATTTGATTGGTCAATTGCTTGCCTTAATTATTAATCCGCTTATGAATCGCTTATGAAACCGTGCATAATAATTATAAATCATCATAGTATTTAATTGGGCAATTACTTTCTTAGCATAATATTTATAAATCATTAATAAATCATTACGTATATACTTAATTCTAATAATCACAACATTTCCATCAGCTCATATAATATTTTTGCTATGTCATTTGTCACGTTTAACGCTAAGTTGATCATAATTTTCTTAAATCGAAATTGTCTCAAACACTTTGTGTTTCACACAAACAATTAGATTTTTACTATTAAAGCTATTCTTTATTAACATTTTGGATTAGTACAAAATTTGAATCGATAATCTAAAACATTTTAATAAAATCGAATACTCAAATAAATACAATTAATTATAACTTTTCAACCATATTTTTAAAACTTTACGTTTATTTTTTTTTTTATACTTTATTAAACGATTTCGAATATTTTATACTTTATTAAACGATTTCGAATATTTTATACTTTATTAAACGATTGAATATTTTATACTTTATTAAACGATTTCGAATATTTTATACTTTATTAAACGATTTCGAATATTTTATAAATTTATTAAATACATGAATTGTAAACAACTATTTTATTAA